CTGAGGATCCAAATATAATGGGGCGCTGGATGGCCCGATGGAAGAGCTCTGGATTTTGGAGCTAACAAGCCGCGTTTGAATCCGTGTAATGCAACAAAATTATTCCCCTCACTTTAAGCTGTGGTTGCGTTTTAAGAACGCACATTATAACGCCCCCACGGCTGAAAGGGCGAGCATGTTTGGTGTGATAGGGATTCGAACCCGCGACCCTCAGATTACAAGTCGAGTGCCTTAACCACCTGGCCTTGCCGGGCCCAGAGATATAGTAAAGCATTCATAATTGTTCCTCATTTTAAATGCAGCTTTTTAAAAGATTTTGGTTAATTACAAAGATATATACGCACTATAGTAATGAGGAGTAATTTAGGTTTACTCATACTAATGTTGTTACTCTCACTTTTACTTATTATTAAGTGAGGAGTGTCGGCAGGATCGTTGAACTCTATCATTTGGCTTGTAATGATCAGAATCTACTTATTTCCTCTTTTGAATTCGAGATCATATCAGAGTTTCTTCGTCTTTTAAAATACAAAATAATACAAACTGCTCTCGTCACTAGAAAAAAAATCAGCCGTGTATGATCATGATTAATGATCTGGTAGGATCGAATTCGTGCTATAGATGCCTTCGCTGCTTTGGTTTTTGTTATCAACGATGTAATTAAGTTCGTGTACAATGCAAAATCTTTATGTCTAGCAAGAAATATGACGGTTCTTGTTCCAATTATATATTCTCAATTTGGAAAAAAAAAATGTTTAGTAAGTAGCTTTAGAAAGCTGTATACATTATCTGTTTCAAAGGCAATAAGCACAACAAAATCTGTAAAAGTAATATCAGCGTGAATATTTACTTTGAACATATTCTGTGAAGATAAAAGAATTACATCATTATGTTAAGGTTTTTCCACTCTTACTAACATAAAACAACCATTTCAAGGTAGCTAGTACTCCTTAAAAATATGCCAAAGTTTATCTGTTCTGGAATTAGTACTAGAAATAATGTAATACTTGTAGATAACTAAATGGGTGATAATTGTACTTGGTAACGATTTTCAACGGAGGCTTTTGGAATTCCTATAGAACAAAGTCTTTACTATTTCACTTAGAGCAAAGTAATACACATATTCTAAACACCGTATTCTATAACTCTATTGAGTAAATTTATAACTTTTATTCTTAATTTTACAGTTGTCAACGTAGAAAAATAACGTACTGACTATTAAATTAGGCTTACCCTCGATCTTCAAAGCTTTATGTTATCAAATACAAATGGTCGTGAATAGGAGGCTCCTTGAACTTCGAACTCTGCGTTAAGTAAGTCTCGTCAATTACAGATGAATAAAACGACAATTCATGTCTTTATTTAGTAACCGTGGTCGCATAAGGAAAGGACTAACCTTGTCTTTATTTAAAAGCATAACATACGTTCAACAAGGGACTATTTGGTCCTTGAAAAAAAGTTAAAATTTAGACCACCGTTTATTTTTCAGGAAATCATCGGTTCCCCTCTTTAACTCTTGCAGAGTGCCGGTTTCAGCTACTGCCGAAAACAACTCATTCCATAAGTCAATTACCCTGTTAGAAAAATAAAACTGTTTTAACTGTAGCCTGTCTTTTTCAAATCTTAAACCTGTATCTTCTCGTCCTGTTGTCTTTCGAATATAGAACAAAGAAAAACACGCGAAACATCAAACATTTTTTTTTCAATCTTAGTAACCATAGTTACACATGAAGAAGATGACCAAATGTTGTCTTTATTTATTAATTATGATTACAAGCAAAGAACTAACCATCGATCTTAGTATTGAATGTTTGGTTAAATAAGTACAATATTCTAAATCTCAAATACTGTGCTTACGTAAATTTAATATCTTTTTAAAATTACTTAAATACAAAGAGTTATTGTGCTTTTTGAACTTTAAACAATGAAGTTGATAATTTAACTGGTTTTAGAAAATCATTTTATGTCAGTAAAGTCCCTCAGTGGCTCAGCGACAGGTCTGAAAGCTTACCACGCTAAAAATTTGATACTCGTGGAGGGTAAACCACAAATAGTCCATTGTGTAACTTTGTGTGACTTGCCAGTCAAGTATTTGATCTAATAATAACAGGCAAACAACAATTTATAAGCACAGTGAATTGATTTATGTATGGTGGAGCCTACTATATGTTTCAACAGAGCAATGGTCTATCTTCTTTCTAAAATAGACGAACCAGTGTTCTGTCGAAACAAGAAGAATATTCCACCATAAATAAATCACTTCAGTATGCTTCTAAAACGTTGTTTGTCTACTAATTAATATATTAGTATCATTTGCTTCCTTACACAAGTATTTGATCTATTGTAAGAAGCAAAAGTAAAGGTAAATTGTAAGAGTTTCATAAAAGTAAAACTCACAATCAGTGAAAAACAAAATTCAATAGGAAATTACTTTATAAAGTTTAAAAGGAAAGTATACAAAATAAAGCGGTTTATTTTAAAAAATGCAATATTTAAATGAATTGTGTTAGGACTAAAATAATATAATAATAATCTGAATTTGAGAAAAACTACTTTCTATCTTAATGGAATTTTAGTACATTTTCATGCACTTTCATATGCAATGTGGGACGTCTGTTTTGAATTTTAATGAAACATCTAAAGCGAGTAATAAATCTTACTTTTTATCAAAGGACTCGTTATGCTCGTGGGTGGTAGCATCATCCAGCTGCGCGTCTAGCTGGAGGAATTCTTGTTTTCCGGGTCAGACATATTTTTACTATGTAAATGAAAAGGGTAAAGTTCTACTTCCTATCAGAGGGGTATTCACCTTAAATATCCAATATCTGGTCGTTTACTATTTTTATCCATAAGGTTTGATTTCGACTGAAGGTACCAATTATTAATTTTAGTGACCTAAGATCCTGCAGTTTGCAACCCAGTGTTGAGCTCTCCGATACAAAATTACTTTCAAGCTGGAATTCTCATCTACACATGTAGAAATTCTGCATTCATGCTGCGAAAAATTAACACTCTAAAATATCTACTTGCTCGACCCACTTATTCATTGTTTTTTTTTCCTTTCTTCTCTCTATAGACTCTTTCTTCTCATCATTGCCGGCGGCCATCTTGTAACTGGTAAACTCTTGCACGTTTTATATGAATATTATACTCTGCAATGGAAGGTAAACTAGAAATGGGTCATACGCGACTTGCAGACTAGTCGACTTGATATTTCTATTTCTTGCTACATGTCAACAAGGGGCACTGATCAAGTTTGTTTCTCACTTTTTTCTTACTATAGTATCTGGAGTAGAGTCCAACGGTCATCGACAGACATGTGGCGCCACATATCGGTCATTGCTCTATCATGCGCAGGTAGGAATCTACGTATGTTTTATATCACAGGTTCTTGAAAATAATAGTTAAACAATTATTATTCAAAATATTTAGATTGTTGTAGCAGTGTGTCTGTTCAGTGTATCTCGTATGATAATAATTTGAGCCTTAAAATATTTTTCAACTTATTGTTTTTTGAATGACCTGTCTTACAATAGATCATAGTTAGTCCTTCATTTCATGAGATTAGATATACAGAATTTCAACTAGTACGGTACAACATCTTACATTAAATTAACATTTAACAATTCATCCAGAAAAGGTATTAGAGAAAAATATAAAATAAAATCAAGATTGATAAAATTCACTTAGTACTTTACATAGGATATAAAACATTAAGCAAGTTTGCATCATCCCTAAAAATGCCATCCCTACTGCCGCGTGGCACAGCGGTATGTCTGCGGACTTACAACGCTATAATCCGGGTTTCGATACTCGTTATGGGCAGGGCACAGATAGCCCATTGTGTAGCTTTATGCTTAATTACAAACAAACAAGCAATCATTCATGAAGTGAGTGGTCTGTTCACGTATTGGTCTTCTTACAGAAATCTGCCACCTGGTGGCTGAGAGATAAGCTTGAGAGCTTAAGGGCTTATAACGATAAAAGTCTGGATTGATCTCACGAGAGACAAATAGCCCATTGCATAGCTTTGCGCTTAACCACAAAAAAAAATCGTAATTAAAATAATAAAATAGTTCTGATAATCAAAACTAGAAACTTTCTGTGTAGGAGAAGGAAGACCTGTAATATTTTGAATAACTTTTAAGGGATTTCTTCGAAGATTCAAACCACACTAAATTTTCATTTATTCAGAGGTAAGCATTTTACTAGAAACTGTGATATCTACGTTACCAAAATGTTGAGTGCTATAAAAAGTTCATTGGTTTCTATCTTTATTTTAAGCTCTTGCTGTAAGGTGCTATTAAACGTTGTTAGAATGTTGAGCTGTGGACTGCAGTTCCATGACTCAACCCCGCCATATAGTGCTGAACACACCTCTGCACTTTCAGCTGATGGGTGTGTGATAAAAATAACAGTCATTCATACTATTCGGTTAAGAGTAGCTGTGTAAGCAACGGATGCTATTGACTGGTTGCCCTACCTCTGGCCAGCACTTTAAAATCGGGGACGATTAGGGTCTCTGGCATAGCCACTTAACCCATATGTGACATAAAGTGCCGTAGAAGTTACAATTAGCAAATACCGAAGTGCTTTGGACAAGTATTCATTTCTACCAGTGTTGTAAGATTTCGATGTAAAGTAATACTGATGTGGACTTTTGTCTTTCGTAATATAAATATTAGCGGAGGTTTTGAAACAAAATATAACATACGAACTTGCATAATGTTGTAGAAGTCAACATGAAACATTCGAACTTGCATAATGTTGTATAGAAGTCAACATGAAACATTCGAACTTGCATAATGTTGTATAGAAGTCAACATGAAACATTCGAGAATATCCCATAAATACTCATTAATTCTTGCATATTATTTACAATACAAAAGATTCTCATCAGCAGAAACCAATCCACATGCATGGATTGCAAGTTTCAAATCATAAAATTACAACTCATCAAAATATTAAGTGTCTCGTCCTTTTTAAGTAGATCCCCTGATGTGACAGCGGTAAGTCTACGAACTTACATCGCTAAAATCCGAGGTTCGTTTCCCCTCGGTGGACATAGCAAAAAAAGCCCACTGGGGTTTGCTTTAAAAAATACAACTCTTTAATGTAGATGAAATTTTTCTCAACATCCTCAACAAAACCGTCATTTAATGAGCACAAAAAAATTATAATCAGAATATCATTTGTTATTAATCAGTAGTATAGTATGCTTCTTGTTTGGGCAAATGAATTATGCATATAGTTACTTTATACGTAAATCTTTTTGCATAAATTGGTCCTTTTTAACATCATTAAGTTGTCATATCCTAATTGTGTATATATCAACAGTACATCGATTTTAAAATGAAAACTCAATCGTTAATAAAACTTTAAATCATTAATAAAGCAATTTTCTAGCTGATTTTTCCTGATTACTATGGCAGTGATGTATTAAGTGTTGTTTATTGGCACAATTGGTCATAACAAGATTGACGTATTATTTTAAACAATGGGATATCTCTGCTCTGCCCATCACGGGTATCGAAACCCGGTTACTAGCGTTGTAAGTTTGCAAACATGCCGCTGCGTCACTGGGGAGCGACTTTAAACAAATTAAAGCAGAAAAACATTACCTGTATCGGTAGCGTCTTCTTCGTTTAAACATTGTGATTAAATTGTTTTCTCTAAAATGAATATGTAAATATATACGTAGTTATATATAACATTATACTAATTAATAGTACTGTAAATTAAAAAGAACAAAAGACACGTTATGATGTATCCCCATATATTATGTTATTTAACGGGAAGAACAAATAACACAAACCCTTATTTCGATATCAAGCGGTATCAGTATTTTATATATATATACACAAATCAGGCTTACTTAATGACCGATTAGCGTGCTAAGCTGCGGATCGCAAGGTCTAAAGTTCAGTTAGGGCATTATAATTCTAACGGTCAATTCTACTATTCGATTATGAGTAGTCGCATAGGTGGCTGTTGACTGGCTGCCCTTTTTTAGATCAACAACCCTACCTAAATTAGGGATGGCTGTGCCCGACCCTTAGGGGTCTCTGAACTAGCCGTTGAGCCCATTTGCAGCATAAAATGTCGATTCGGTTTAAAATAGTAAAATCAATATCTCACCCAGTAGATCAGCCTGTTTTGGACAAGTGACAGGCAGCATTACAAAAAAAAAAAACTACAACAAACAACTTAGTCTTCTTTTAAAAGACATAAAAACTTAATCTGTCTCAATATGTAATTATCTTAATGAAGGTGGGTTTTGTTTTGTTTTGTTTGAAGTTAAGCACAAAGCTACACAAAGGGCTATCTGTGCTCTGCCCACCACGGGTATCGAAACCCGGATTCTAGCGTTGTAAGTCCGCAGACATACCGCTGTGCTACTGGGGGGCATGAAGGTGGGAGTGAAGTTAATAGTATGATAGGACTATCATTTTTAATTTATTATTGTATAATGTCTTATATTGTCATACCAAGACATCTGCCCTCTCCCAGTGGCATAGTGGTATGTCTGCGGACTTATACTGCTAGAAACCGGGTTTCGATACTCGTGGTGGGCAGAGCACAGATAGCCCTTTGTGTAGCTTTGTGCTTAATAACAAAAAAACCAAGACATCTTAAAGTGGCATTTGTTCAAGTACATTAACAGCATATTTATGCTAAAATAAAATATTGAAGATACTTTCTTTAAAACGTAATCACCGATGATGAAGAACAAATCACTTTGTTTAAGATCTACAGTTTCAAACGACAATCAAAATGTCTAACATCAATCAATATACGGGAATAAGAAATGCATCATTTTGTCGATGAGATTTTGATGATTGTGTATGTTTTCGTTTCTCATAAAAGGTTAAATATATTTTTTTAATTAGACTAAAACAGTGTATATTTTATTTTCAGTTCTTGTAGTTGTATGTGAAGTGTCTCTCAGTAGGGTAAGTATTCTTTTTATTTTTAATTTTAAAAACAATACAGTACAACTGTTGAAATACATGAAGTTCAATTTAAAGTGGATCAAAATACAAGAGTATAAAATTTATTTATTTCCGTATATTAATAACATTTAATACCATATATATGTGTTACAAATTTGGTTTCTGACATCACAGAATTCGCGAGCAATATGAACAGAAAAATTTAAATAATATGCCGAATTATCTCATTATGATAACCCATTTTAATATTAATAGATTAATAAAACACACACAAATGTACAACATTCCTAATCAAAATACAATATTGTATCATAAAAACAATACTAAACTTATAATTCATAATGCTAATTACTTTGTAAATATAATTTATTTTAAATATATGAAAAAGAAAATTCGTAGTTGATATATATATATCCGTATACGTAGAGAGCTAACCATGCTGCTAATAAAACCAGGGCACATTCAAAATGCTGCTTTCTATCATATGTATTAATTTAGATTTTATAACTGAAATAAGTATAAAATAGACTAACTCACAAGTGTTCCATACGATTCGTACAAGTTCATATTATGATTAAAGTCACTTAAGATATATCATTTCAAAGTGCTAACTTACATGATCTCCTAATACAATATCCGATAAAGAAATAAAGCTATGATATGATTTTTTTTTATTTCCAGGTTAAGAGATGGGAAGAATTTCCGGATGTAGAATTTAAGTTCGACTGTAACAATCGAGCAGTAGGATTTTATGCCGACCAAGACTTCGACTGTAAAATATTCCACATGTGTGACGTATACGGTCGTAGGGTACCTTACATCTGTCCGAATAACACAATGTTTAATCAACAGTATCGTGTGTGTGACTGGAGTTATAGCGTGGACTGCAGTGAGGCACCCAAATGGTTTTACTTGAATGACCTTACTTACGAAAACCCTCCCCCCCAAAATGTATAAATATCAAAGCAGCGTGAAGTTACTCTTACGAACGTTTATCTTGTTACACTACTCCTGCAGTAATGAATTTTATACGCTTATATAGAATTGCTTAAAATAGTTCAATTTAGAATATTATTATCAAAGGTTGATCTTTTTGGGGGCTCTACACTGTTTTATATAAATGCGGAAAGGAATAGTTTAATTTGAACATCGCTACTGAGGTTAACAACCTAAATCCTGTTGAACCGAAAAACTTAACACATGCTCGTGTATTCAAGCTAATACATTATGTTTGATGTTCTAAGAATGCATGTAGTAGGTTTATATGTTGTCCAAGATGTTTCTTGTATATATAGTGGGCATCATATAGAACAAAACCTACTTCAGTTTCTCGAACTACTAAATAAGTGTGTATATATATATCTTAAACTTGTATATGAAAAGTTTGGTGTATATGTTTTCAAATCTTCGTAATAAATCATTGGAAATTATTGATGTAATTACTTGAACGAAAAATTATTGACCTCGCGCTTTATTTACCCTTAGAAAATAGATTTTTATGAAGACTTAATTATTCACACTGGTGGAATATATTGTTTGAAACATGTCAGCCAACGGCACTAAAATGTTTTGTAATATATTTATATAACAGGCTACTGTCCACCTGTCCGTAGAATTCGTCTCACAGTTCAAGTCCGATTTGGATGAAACTTCACACGATTTTTCAACATCATAAGGAGAAGTTCCTAACAAAGTTTCATTACAATTGAATCTCTTATTAAAAACAAAAAGTTTATTTATTGTTTAAGTCCACTTTTTTAAAGAAATGTTAGTAAGAGCTTTATATCACACCAAAATGAAAAATGTTATAAAATAGGCCCTCGCTAAAATTAAAAAATAATAGGACCTTATAACATTTTTTCCCTAAATCGCTTCCTTAATGGAGAAATAATACTTCTTTCCTTTTCAATAATGTACATTAATTTCGTACATTTATCATTATCAACGAAATTAATTTCTTTGATAAAACTTCTAAAATTGTGGTAAAGTGAGTCTTCCTAGTGGAGAATCAGTGTGATGTTTCAGAAAAAAAAAGTGGCATTTTATGGTGGAAAATCCAAGCGTACGCTATGAATTGAATTGTTCTATGACTGAAGGAATGGCATATCCTTGGTAGGAGTTCGTTACATACAAGTTTGCAGGAATCCTGTGGTAACTCGATCTTCGTAAGTTACACAAGTATATTTTTACTTCAGTATAAGTATAAAGTGATGAAACAAATCGAAAATCACGGTGACAAAAATTGCCAAACGGAAAAGTGACTTATCGCGGAGAAAGTCTGAAACTTTGAGAAAGAAAATGAAACTTCAGGATGTAGATTACATAAAGACAGAGCAAGGAAGAGATAGGCTTGCGCACCGAGTTATGACGTAAGGTTCAGTGAGAAGAAGCCAGAAAAAAACCCGAAATATAGAAGCACATCCAACTGCTCGTCAAGATGCAGTTAGAAGAAGTCACAACAATTTCGTGATATAGAGGCATAACGTTCAGCCCACCAAGATCTTGACCGAACAGCCGCCCATATGGCGTCGTTTCTGCTAATATATGTATAAAAGACAATCAATGTTTGGTTCCTATAAACACAATGTGAAGTTCGGCCTTATGAAACAATACGTGTATATAAAAAAAAAACAGGTTTGTTTTGTTTTGAATTTTTCGCAAAGCTATTCAAGGGCTATCTACGCTAGCCGTCCCTAATTTAGCAGTGAAAGACTAGAGTGAAGGCAGCTAGTCATCACTACCGATCGCCAACTTTTGGGCTACTCTTTTATCATAAAAAACAAACAACAACAACAGACAATTGAGTACATCATAACATTACTTGGATTAAAATTAATTAGATTTATACGTAAAACTGAATCGTCATAGTTCAGAAATACACGTGTTTGTTTGAAACCTGAGGTGCAATGTTTCATCAAATATCGTTAACAATGAGGGTTACCAAACTGGTGTGATCAAGATATATTTTAGTTTTATGTCATCTAGATTTATGATATGATATACTTGTAGTCAGTTTTTACCCGGCATGACCTGGTGGTCAGGGCGCTCGACTCGCAATCTGCGGGTCGCGTCAATGAACATGCTCGACCTTTCATTCGTGAGAGCGTTATAATTTACTGTCAATCCCACTATTCGTAGGAAAAGAGTTGTCCAAGAGTTGACGGTGTGTGGTGTTAACTAGCTGCCTCTCATCTAGTTTATCACTGCTAAATTGAGGAGAGGACTTCTTCTTCGCTCAACACCTCTCTCATGCAACTGTCTCTCTTAGCAGCAAAATCTCTTTCTTGGGCATGCGTACTTATAGTTTGAAAATAAGCCATTCTTTTTGTTAGAAGTGTTCCTTTGAACTTACATACTCAATAGATCAAGCAAAAGATACATATGAGAGCAAAGACAGAAAACTCTATGATAAATCCTATCGTCATGGTGCATAAATTTCTCCTTCCTGTACAGACTGTAGTATTCTCAGCATAAACTAATTTCTGTACGATTATCACATAGGTCTGCCTTATAATAGGAGATTCATGCAGGATAATTGCAGTGCAAGTCTAAATTTAACTACTACTGAGGTTAAGCTAAGAAAATGAATAGAGTGGACATGCGGTGTAAAGTGTAAAACAACCTTTATTTAAAATGCTAATCTAAAACACGGTGTGAAAATTTGCATAGACACAGGACAGTTGCTTTTCTACTGGATCAGTGAATGAATCAACACCTGTATTCTTGCAAGGTGTCTTATATTACTTATATTTACATACTTATATATATAATTATAGTTATAGTTATATGCTTATATTCTTACAATATATTATTGCAAGGTGTCTTTCCACCAATCAACTCACATCTGCAACCAAGTAGAACCTTTTGTATTCTGACTAAAACCAATGATCAGTACACAAGAAACCTCAGCTTTTATCCATAAGTAACAAGTAAAATCATGTGACTGGTTGTTCTCTTACAGTATCTAGTGATTAGTGAAGGAGTTTGCTGTCAATGACCTATTCTACACAAAGTGTGAAGTTGCAGCAATATTCACACGGGCAAAGTAGATATCACCTACTAAGGAACAGATTAGTGAAGGAGTTTACTGTCGATGACCTATTCTACACAAAGTGTGAAGTTGCAGCAATGTTCACACGGGCAAAGTAGATATCACCTACTAAGGAACAAATTAGTGAAGGAGTTTACTGTCGATGACCTATTCTACACAAAGTGTGAAGTTGCAGCAATATTCCCACGGGCAAAGTAGATATCACCTACTAAGGAACAAATTAGTGAAGGAGTTTACTGTCGATGACCTATTCTACACAAAGTGTGAAGTTGCAGCAATATTCCCACGGGCAAAGTAGATATCACCTACTAAGGAACAACAACAAAGGTAACTAAAACGAAATAACTCAACAGTTTTCTCGACCAAGATTTTATTCAAAAAATTCATAGAATCAAATTAAACAAAACGTTTAAGATTCCTTTGTTACAGATGGTGGGAAATGCATGATATGCCTGAAAATCACACACATATAGGTTTGTCAAAGTTATTTCAATCATCAGAAGTTTATATCAATTTTTTCTTTCAATTAACACATTATACTTATTATAAGAAACCTATAATCATTTTTTATGTTATCAATGAAAAATATAATAAAATATCATATATATATTTTCGCTTTTTTATTGTTGTTAAGTATGGAAATTAAGTTGATGAACGCTAGACAAATCTTCACATTAATTATAGCACTATGTCCATCAATATCAAACATTAAATTATAAAAAAAAATTCTTGGTGTCTTTAATAAATCTCATTATAATACCAAGGTAAGTTTTATGGTACACACAATTAGTGAACCTGCAACTCCATAAACCAGTTATATATGGTTTGTGTATGCCAAATTTCATAAAAAGGGCAAAAAATTATTCAGAAATGAATACCAGTATAAGCAAAATAAATAAAACACCTAATTTTCTTTTTATCCACTTGATCACACAACCTTACTCTTAGTGTTAATAAAACGATTTTGGATCCTCAACACATTCTTAGAATCTACGACTGGAAGTTTCCATCTGATGACCATGAACTTTGACAATAGCCTTGAAGCACAGTTTTCATTGAAAACAGTTCACTTAAGAATGTCATGCCCTAAGCACACCCATCCTCCCTACCTACTGTTCATAATTTATCTAGTGTACGAGGACAGCTGTTTCCCAGAGCCATTTTGAACAAACAGTCAAATCACACAGAAATCCATAGATGCTACGCCCAGCTACTTCATCATAATAATATATATGGAATAACATGAATGCTCGTTTCATTCTGTAGCTGCTTGAAGGATGCAATTGTTGAAGAGATATGATATGGAAGCAACTTGTATTGCTTTTTCAGACGAAAATCCTTATTGATTATGTTGCTTAGTGTTTTATGAGTTACGTGGATGGTTTTTTGTGGATTTTCATCTGTTACAAGGCGTCTCAGTTTGCTTACCACGCTTGGTGCCACAAGTTGATCCAGATTCCTTTTTTTCAATGCCATTAAGTACAGGGGATATCCGTCTTGGAAATTATAAATCACTGATCTGAACACATTTTTATGATCTGAGTGTATGAACATTATGCGTAGGAAAAGTCTGTTATGTACCCTTTCACAAAAGCGATCAATTTTCGATTACATCATACTACCTCTGCCATGCGAAACAATGTCGAAATGTAGTTCTGATACATTCCGTTCCACCACGACTTTTTATCCATTATAATTTTCACACGTGACAAGCTGATTTGCTTATTCAAAATCATTTTAATAGAACTTACTTATCCTTCTGTATGACGACAATCTTGCGTTAGTGAAGAAACATCCATAAAACATAGCGAATACAAACATATGGATCAGAAAATAAACACTTATAAAAAGAAAATTAACAACGTCTTAGAGTTTCTTACATTGAGAGCTTGAGCATTCATAGATCCTCCTGATTGTAAAGTAAATTTCCAATGTTATTCGGCATGCAAGATTGACGACTAAAGCTTAAAAAATCATTAGCGCTTTATTCTAACTGGAAGTTACACCAATTCAAACCATCCCTGTATATTTTATATTAGTATCACATACGAGGATATTTACTTTCAGTGAAAGATAATAACAGTTTTTAACATAATTGTTTGATGTTTAATCATCTTACGTTTATGTTAATTAACATTGAATGATGGCATATTACACGTCAAACTTATTGACATAAAATCAGATGCTGGCTTAGAGGCTCGTATAGTTGAAAATTCATACCTGACCGTTTCTTAAACGATGTAATTACACACGACGTTTATCTTAGAATGTAATCCATACAGATGATATTGAGTAAATAAAAAAGATTGTTTCAAAACTCTGTGTTCATTGTTATGTAATTATGCGTATAAAATAAAAGCCTGACGAATGAAAGTGCTA